AATAGCCCATTTCCGAATTACCCTTGGCCTCATTTTCAAAACGAGTCCTGGTGCTCATCCTTTCATATGATAATAAGTTTTCATTCACATGCAAATTAAACTCATTTTCACAAGAATGGTTGAGCACCAGGCCTCGTTTTGAAAATGAGGCCAAAGGTAATTCGGAAGTGGGCTATTTGTGAACAAAGAGATGTCGCGTGACTGCGTGACAAACATTAACACTCAAGCTCTTTTGGCGGCCGATTTTCCACAGAAATAAGGTCGAAAAGAAAACAATAAAAACACTAAAAGGCGTTTTACAAGGAGTAAAGAGAGTAAAGTGACTTCCTTTTAAGAAGATGGCCCTTCCTTTTTGGCCACAAACCAGCTTAAAGCTTAAACAATCAATAGCCCGTTCGCATATTTGTCTGGCGCACTGTCAGAAGCAGCCAATTTCAAACGCACCTCTTTGAGGAAGACGTCCATCCAGCTTTTTAACCTTATAGAGAAAACAATTCTGGTGGGAGCATGGGTACTCACTGTCTTGTGATTCTTCACAAGAACGACGAACTCGTCACTTTCCCTTGCCATTCTGTTGTATTCCTCGATTATCATGTTCGCGGCGAAAAACCATATTACATCGGTGGATAAAATAAATTAATGGATCTCGTGATATTGTTGACTTCAATTTTAAGTTAAGCATATGCTCTAGCTAGTGCTGTAATCGGGTCTTATGCATAAGAAGGGAATTTACAAATTTAAGCTCTTTCATCCTAGCCACCGTTGGCCTTCTTCGCGGCCAGCCCTCCCCCACTTCGTCGCCCTCGAAAAGAAAATTTAGTGGAAGTCAATATTTCATTCGGGATGTAAGAATTAGCTTGAAAGTAAAAATAGCGTTCATCATGATGGCAATTAGATTCTCTCTGAACTTTGAACGACAGCTGGTGAGTATGAAGACAGTCCATGTGGCCGAGTGTTTCCTTTACCCGCTCGATTGGGTTTCCAGAAACCATTGTTGATCCCATTTTGTCCGTGTGATCGAAGAAACCCTGCGTGATATATTCTGTTCCTTATGATGTTAACTAACGAAGCGAAGTGTTACTATATTGGTGAAGTATACCGTGTTAACCAGACAAATGTAAACAGAAATGTTGAACCGAATTAAAAACTCAAATAGCTTCCATTTGCAAACTGTCGGGAGATGCTAACGAAACCAACCCAAAGATTGCACAAAATTATGCTCATAGTTCGTAAAAAACCACAAGGTGTATTAAAAGAGCGAGTAAATCTCATACCTCCGCATTTCTCGCCATAAACCACTTGGGTAACAGAAAGTCCGAGAATGAAACAAATTACAGCCGCCAAGCGGAGAGCCATGTCTTCTTCGTTCTCCAAAATTCAACTGCTTGTGGTTCGGCAAATCACAAAGATATGAATATCTCACTCTCACACCTATGAATTTATCGCTTTCACACTATCCACATGCCGCGCCTGGTGTATACCAGCACAAGTTACTGCATCTCGACAGCCTGAATGTAATCCTCATGAGACCAATTGATTGCGTTGCATCATGGTCGTAAAACAAAAGTTGACTTATTTGCACCTTGACGCATTGGAGTGAATTACTTTGGTGGCAGCGAGATTGCGTGAATATACGTAGATTGTAAAGGGGATTCACTGTCTGTTTCCGTTCCTTCGAAAGTTAAAACGTTTGACGGGCCTGCGCGACTCCCGTCATTCCTCCGTAACGAATTCTTTCTTAGGAGGCAACTGATGTTATTTAGAAAGATTCGAAACTGCAATGTGCCTAAGAATTTCGACACAAATGGCAACAGTTACACTCATAACCGATGGCGGGCTGAGTAATTTGAGTCAGAAATTATATTCCTAGACGCAGGTTATTTAACAGGGAATTGACCCATGACATGGAAACGTATACTGAAGAGACAGACCATGTAATACACGAACTTTTTCCACCGAGCGTGACTACGGGATTTCAATTTGTAGAAGAAGCTCCACGCCTCTAAAGAACGAATTTGTCTCGCTCCAAAACGTACGGAGTTTCAAAATACCCTTCGAGAATAAAGGAAATCTATATGAGGGCTTTGAGAAACGTATCTCCAGAATTATTACTTCAGGAGAGAGGTATACTCTGAAACAAAGAAGAAAATTTTGCCCTTTGCGCACAGAAGAAAATTTTGCTCTTTGTAACACAATCATCATTCGGCTTTGCCAAACCTCAAGAATATACAGATAGGGCAATGAAAACTCAAAACTGACCCTTATTATCACATGGCAAAGGAAAGTTATCAAGAGTTATCCTTATAAGAGCTAAACTTTGAGGGTAGAAGATTTAAAAGCGCTAACGAATGTTTGGAGACGCACAAGCCAATCAACACCTTTCAAAGGTCGACTGCTTTTTGCTTTCCGGCTTTCCGGCGTGTCACCTCAGGCAAGGTAGATGTTTTCATTGATCAAGTGACTCTTTTCATTGCTCTAGTTAAACTGTCCTTCATTAAAT